CAATCTGGTGGAATGGTAGAACGATTTAATCAGAAATTGGAGAGGTACTTAGCAAAAGTTGTAGACAATCGGCATTGAGATTGGAACAAGCACATACAACCGTTTTTGTTGTCATATCGAAGCGCTGTTTACGAAAGTACATCAGTGACACCAGCTTTTGCAAACTTTGGAAGAGAATTACGGCTACCTGCAGACCTAATCACTGGGATACCACCTGATGCCCCGCGCAGTATAACAGATTATGCAAATGACCTGCGGAACAATATGAATGACATTTATGAGCACGTCAGACAATCGGGCGAGCAAATGTCCGAAAAGATGAAAACCCGGTATGACCGCAAAATGAACAACAAAGAGTTTGACGAAGGTTCACTAGTGTGGTTGCACAATCCGATCCGCAGCAAAGGGAAATCTCCTAAATTTCAAGCTAAATAGGACGGCTCGTACCGGATTGTGACCAGGATCAACGACGTAACCTACCGTATATAAAAATGCGCAAGAGGTACTCTTAAGATCGTCCATGTGGATTGACTGGCGCGTTACTATGAGGTCGATAATGCTTGGAACGAGCATGTTTTAGGAGGGGGCAGTGTTGCGTTCTATAAATAGCACCTGGTATGCGGCGGCTGATTATTAGCGCCATCTGGTATCAAGCAGCAGAAAAAGGAGCATCAAGATCTTTCTATAACTCTCTCACTAGCGCTACCTAGTATCTAATGGAAGAACTAAGCTTTCTAAAAAGCCCCACACTCGAACTTTCTGCACCATGTCGGTCGGGGCCGGTATTTGCTGGAATATTCTGGCTGTTTCGGTGGAAAAAGCCTATATAAAGCCGTTAAAAGCCTCGATCGGGTCAGTATTTAATTGGCGAAACAAGCGAAGCTTCGGATCGAAATAAAGTGAACTAAAGTGTTAAGTGTGATTAATTATTAGTGTGTTTTATGTTTTAATTAGTGTTCAGTAATTAAAGTGTAAATTTTGGTAATTCAATGGGCAGTTTTTATTGTCACAAACCCGAAGCTCGTAACAATAATATTTGCAATGTCTTCAACAAATTTTTTAGTCAACCGGCATTTCATTGTCGAAATTTTACGCATAAAAGTTTCATATGAAATGATGTTATTAGATGTAATTATTAGATGTTATATAATTAGATGTAATTACATATTAATATAAGTGTCACATATATAAAAAGGCTTTGATATGCTCGAATTTTCTAAAGTTATTAATGAAAGTCGATCAGATTCTTTGTTTTCTTCTTGTAAAAATTATCGTCATTATTAATTTTAATTTTTAACGTAATGCGTGTTTTATGCGTAAACTTTTGGATTTTTCAAATATATTATCGTCACTATTAATTCTTAATTTTTAATATAATATTCTGGATATTCTGCAAACTTCACAAAAAATGGAGTAATTTGATCACATCGAGCACCTTTAACGCTTATTATATTTAAAATTAAAAGTAATAGTGACGATAGTTTTTTTTGCGTACATTTCTATTACCGAGAAGACTCACCGACACACAGACCAACGGACTGCATGCCATATATTTTTTCAATTACTATTATAATTCTGTAGTTATCAAAGTCTGTACTTATTGTAACGTTAGTAATAATATGAATTGAAGTCTATAAGTATAAGAACGATTTTATGTAGCGAAGTTGAGGTATGGACACATATCGAGAGTAGAGCGCTCTCTCGCGTTGTTAGGCATGCAAGATTTAGTAACTTTATAATGTTACAAAATGCGGTTCTATAGACAATAAATATATGAAAAATCACCTTAGTTCTCTCTAAATGTATAGAGATGTAGAAGTCTATAGGCCACAGTATCCATTTAACATTAAGTGGACCGTGTGCTTGTTATTAGAATTACAGCTTAGTAAAAATAAAAACAATTAAAATTGTTTTTTTTTTAAATAACCTTAGGTATAAAACAAACATTTAAAACTCTTCAGACTTTACCTCAAAATATTTGTTTTAATTTCTTAAACAAGTATATTTAAAACCATTACATGAAATTTCAATTAATAAATTCTACTATTCGAAATTGTGTCATTTAAACACCATCTCCAAATACAGCTTTTGTTTGGGAGATAAAACCTTTTTTGATTTAACTCGAATTAAATTCACTAATTATGCCGTAGAACGGACAACTTTTTAGAAGTAACTCTCATTTGTTAGACGTTAGTGAAGGGGATTTACGAGTATTACGAACGTATTCGTGATGGCCATGAAGTCGAGCAATGTTGTATTTTGGAGTAATTTATACGCTGAAACTTGAGGTTTAAAATACATAGTAAATGGTTTAAGAATGAAATATACTTTTACATTATCCATTAATACTGTAACAATATACAAAAAGGCATCAATTTTATGTTTATTAAATTTGTAATTTACGATTATTTCGACGTAGCGACCCGACCAGTTTAGCATAAATGTTATCTATTTATTTTACAAATTTTCGTTTACTATTTTATTTGTAATATTGAAGTTTTTCAGATAAAATATAGCCTGTAATTCTTCTAGCATTGCTATATGTTTTCAAAGTTTCATCACATTCTGTTCAGCCGTTTCGAATATTAAACCATTTTTTTACAGGATAGGGTGACAAACGAGCGCACAGTCCACCTGATGGTAAGTGGTTGCTGTGGCCTATAGACATTTACATCTATCCTCGATTACGAATCAAAATGCATATGCGTTGCCACCCGTGAGGACTATGATGGAATGCCTCGTTTTCAGTAAAAAGGGTCTGCGGTCGCTCACCATGCGACACACAGCAGCATTAAGCTACTAATTTACGCTGGTATTCTGTGAAAGCGTGGTCCTTCCCCGGTCGAGCCGACCCATTCTTGCTACAACTATACTCTTAATATAACTGCAGCATGGCTCTACCACGTATAAACCATACAGACATACAAACAATATTCACACAAAAATATTATATATGTGTCAATAGCATTCAAACCATTAAACTGTATTTAAAATTCGTTGCAATCGGGTAGTTATGACTAATAAGTAATTTCTAGGTGTACGAATGAAGTTCATCATCATCATCATCATCATTACAGCCATTCACAAGTCCACTGCTGAACATAGGCCTCCCCCAAGTAATGCCACAAAGCACGGTCCTGAGCCACCTGCATCCATCGACTTCCTGCATGTCTTACCAGGTCGTCACTCCACCTAGTGGGGGGTCGCCCTACACTACGCCTACCGGTACGAGGATGCCACTCGAGAACCTTTCTTCCCCATCGGTTATCGGTTCTTCGAGCTATATGGCCGGTCCATTGCCACTTCATCTTACTAATCCGTTGGGCTATGTCGGTCACTCTGCTTTTACTGCGGATATCCTCATTTCTGAGTCTATCACGCAGAGAAACTCCGAGTAAATCCCTCTCCATAGCTCACTGAGCGACCTTGAGCGTCCTCATACGGCCAGCAGTGAAGTCTCAGATCCGTAAGTCATCACTGGCAACACGCACTGGTTATCCACTTTAGTTTTCAGAGATTGAGGTATACCTGACGAGAAGATGTGTCGTAATTTCCCGAACGCTGCCCAGCCGAGTTGAATCCGTCGACTGCCGACTAGTTAGGTCCAACGACGACTTCTTTCGGTAGAAGTTGGACTTACCTAGTCGGACTATTTGTCCCTGGTTAACGTACTCGTCAACAACTTCGAGCATAACTCATAACTGGCATAGGTGTGACATGGATATTAAATATGACCTTTGTTTTGTTCATGTTCATCTTAATATCTATCCATTGGGAGACACCATTGAGGTCATTGAGCATAGTGCTTAGGTCTTCCAGCGATTCTGCCATAAGGACTATATCGTCGGCAAATCAAAAGTGAGTGATGTACTCGCCATTGATGTTAATACCGTATCCTTTTCAGTCCAGTAGATTGAAAACGTCTTCCAACGTAGCGGTGAAGAGTTTCGGGGATATAACGTCACCCTGTCTTACACATCTCTGCAGTTGGATAGGTTTCGAACTCTGGTTCTGTACTCGGATAGCCATCGTAGCCCTACTGTACAAACACTTTAGCACTTCGATATATCGACAGTCAACTTGGCACCGCTGAAGGGACTATAGCACCGCCCAAATTTCGACAGAATCATAGGCTTTCTCATAGTCCACATATGCCAGGCAAAGTGGCAGATTGTACTCTTCGGTCTTCAGTACAATCTGCCGCAGGGTATGTACGTGGTCTATGGTACTGAAGCCTTTTCGGAAACCGGCTTGTTCGGGAGGCCGGAACTCGTCGAGTCTGCGTGCGAGACGATTTGTAATGACTCTCGAAAACAGCACATAGACGCGGCTCAGAAGGAAAATCGGTCTGTAGTTCTTCAAGACAGCATTGTCGCCTTTCTTAACACATTCACGGACAGTACACACATTTTCGTGACATTCTGAATTTATATTACGACACAACGCCTATTTACGATAAAATATTTTTTTCCTTATTTGCCACTACGTAAATAAGCGCGGTATTCGTTTACGGTTAATATGAAGATCTACTTTTACTGTCGTAACCCAAACAGTATCAAGATTGTACTGTCACAACATAAAATTTTATGATAGTAAATGTGTGCTATCTACACATACATGCAAATTTTGCTATAGTACACATGTTGTGGCACCACGGATGTAGCCGTTGCGTTCGCGTCGTGAGTCAAACGAACCAGTCGCGTAGTGTCACCGGGAGGAGAGGACACGCTCGCTTGCGTCAAATCGTTCGTCGTCGTTCGTTGAATACTTACGTGTTTTTCCTGGTAAGTAATTTAGTGTTATAATATGTTATTGTCTGTATAAAGATAACCGAATAGTAACCAGTCTTTCAAAAATGGTTAATACTTATTGTATCAAAAAACCGTTAGCATAAAAAACACGATAAATTTAAAAATATAATGGAATAAACTTCATATTATTTTGTAGGTAAGTATCGATTTTTTTTGTTGTGCGTCTAATTCTCTTTCAATTGCCTTCAGATGACCTCAAAAAGAAACAAATTGAGCAGAGGCAAGCCAACATATTTGTTTCGAGATGATGAATCTAACCACGATCCATATTCTGACGATGATGGTGAATATGGTTCAGACCACAATTACGAGCCCGCTGATGAAGGTGAAGATAGCAGCAGTGACTACAGTGAAATTTTCGATGTTCATAGAAGTCGCTTTGAACGGAATAGACAAAGAATTGGGTCTGAAAGCGAGAAGTCGTATCATAGTTCTGCTGGCGATCAAAGCGATAATGGCGAGCAGTTAGACCAGAATTCTGTTAATGAAAGAAGCTTTGATGAAACCGAACATTATTCCGACATAAGCGATTGTAGTATTTTCGATCACCATCAAATTTAAGTAGCAGGGAATGAGAAAGAAAGCAGCGTTCAAAGGTATGAAAGTCAAGAGAACAATGCTGTTAGAAATCATAAAGATAACAATAATATTCACTTACAACAAAATTATGAGCTACCGGAATATAGAAATCAACAAGACGAAGAAGAAATAAGAATGAGTCTGGAGATAAATGAGGTGATTGGTGTTCAATTTCCAAAAATTCAGGAGCCTTCTCAGGATAGAAGAGGAGAAGAAACACTTACAGCTAGAATGAGAGAGGAGCTGAATGAGGTGGTTCAAGATCAATCTCCACAAAATCAAGCACAATCTCAGGCAAATTTAAATGAGGCTGGACCGAGTAGAAGATACAGTAAATACAGTACGTCGAGGGACTTCTCCACCAAATGACACAATTTGTGAAAATACTGTCTCAAATATTGCTTCTATTGACTTTAGATCTCCAGAGAAAGTCCCGACATTTGAAGTTCATGAAAATACCACATGCGAGGAAGTATTTGACTATTTATTTACCACAGAGATGATAGAGTATTTGGTTGAACGAACAAATTCCTATGGAGCTGCTCTTACCAAAACAAATAGGCCACATACACGTCATGCACGCAATGCTGCCTTTCGAGCAACAAATCCTGAAGAGATGAAAAAATTTTTAGGTCTTACTTCATTAAATGGTCACATTCGTGTTCCACAACAAAAGAAACTTTTTACATATGACGACCCCTTGTATTTTCACCCTGTCTTTAACTATACAATGTCTTGCAGAAGGTATGAGCAAATTTTAAGATGTCTGTATGTAGGTGATTTGGGTGCGAAAGGGTCTGGAAAAATTGAAGGTTTTATAAACACAGTGACTCAAAATTTTCGAAATGTATTCAATCCATGTCAAGACTTGTCTCTTGACGAGTCTTTGCTACTATATAGAGGACGATTAATATTTCGTCAGTACATAAAATCAAAAAAGCTAGGTATGGCATAAAGTTTTACGTAATGATTTCTTATATTTACGCGAACACTACACATTAAAATAATACTAGTTTTTACGGAATTTATCGCGTATATTTAACTTGATAATTACCCGACGTTTCGAGAGCTTTACAGCACCCATGGTCACGGGAAGGACTGAGATGTTCAACGTCCAGCTGTCATAGTTAACCGCGGTTACCATAGATTAAAATTTAACTTTTGTTCCGATCTACACAGTATGAACTTATGGTATCATGGAGTCTTGCAGTTGTATGCTTGGGTTGGGATTTAATTTTATTTATTATAGGATCCCAAGCAGATGGTAGCACCCAGCCATCTTCTCTATTGAAATAAGGATGTTTTTTGATTTCAATAGCCTCGCGAATCATCCTTGGAAGGAATCGGTGTTCTTTAGCGAGGATTTGTGGTCTATCAAATCTGATGTAGTGACGGGGGCGATTCTGTACATGTTCACAGACTGCAGACTTCCCGGAGCGTCGATTCTTCACATCAGCTATATGTTCTTTGACGCGGGTTTTAATGGATCTTTTAGTTTGTCCTATGTAGGAGAGACCACATTCACAATCAAGCTTGTACACTCCTGCATCTTGCAGAGGGACGTTACACTTGACCGATGGTAAAAACTGACCAATCTTCTTCAGCGGCTTGAAGTATGTTTTGATGGAAGCGCGCTTCAAGATGTAGCCAATCTTGTCAGTGACTCCTCTAACATATGGCAGTACAGCAGGTACACGCTCGACTGTGGCCGGCTTCACTCGTTCTCTGTGACGTAGGCGCGGGACCCGAAGCTTGTTGTCATGCAAAACTTGCTTGACATGTTGGAGCTCGGCAGCCAGGTGTTTACTGTCACAGATCCCTCGTGCTCTCTGAAACAAAGATTTACCCACGGTAGCTAACTGTGAAGGATGGTGGTGAGAATCACCGTTTAAATATCTATCTGTATGGGTCTTTTTTTATACACAGTATGGCTCAAGGTGTTATCAGGATTCCGAATTACTAACACATCTAGAAAAGCTAAGGAATTGTTTGCCTCTAACTCCATTGTGAACTGAATTTTAGAATTTATAGAGTTAAGATGGTCTAAAAATGCAGTTACTTTATCTAAAGGTAGAATTGTGAAAGTGTCGTCTACGTACCGCTTGTAGAAACTTGGATTTATGGGAGAAGTAAGCAGGGCTTTCTCCTCAAAGTCTTCCATGAATATGTCGCCGACAATGGGAGATACAGGTGAGCCCATCGCCACACCATCTACTTGCTTGTAGAACTCCTCCTTCCACAATAGGTAGCCAGATGTAAGGCAGTGTCTGAGTAATACTGCATATTCTACGGGCATGTTGTTTTCTTCCAGCCTTCTAGTTACAATTGAGATGCAGTCTTCAACAGGTAAGCATGTAAACAATGACTGCACATCAAAACTGACCATAGTTTCATTGTCTGCCAGACGTAGGTCTTTAATCTCGCTGACAAAATGGTAGGAATCCTTTATGTGTGCTCTTGTATGTCCCCTGAGCGGCGAGAGTATTTTCGCTAAGTGTTGAGCCAATCTGTAAGTTGGTGAATCGATTTGGCTCACTATGGGGCGTAATGGAGCATTGGGCTTGTGTATTTTTGGTAACCCATACAACTTTGGTGATTTGGCGCACGTAGGTATTATCCATTTTACGTCCAGATTTAATTTTTCGGAGTGTTTCTTTATGAAGTCACTAGTTGTTTTTAGTGTGCTATTTGTTGGGTCGTTTTTAACCTTTTTATAAGTACTTACATCCGCCAAAACTTCTTGTATTTTAGAATTATAATCTGACGTATCCAGACTACCGTGGCGTTTCCCTTATCTGCGCGGAGAATCGTAAGTTCTGGTTTATTGCGACTAGTCAATGTTCGCGTATATAAAAATCATTATGTAAACCATACGGACTGTAATGCAAAAATACGCCGATTAGAAGATCTAAAACTAAGCGCGCAAGATTCTAACAGCCTAAATTTCTGAAGAGATCCGAGACATAATCTCATTCCTACGTGTGTCAAAATATCCACCAAAAAGGACATTCGAGGAAGCGCTAAGATCTTAAATCAGGCGAGTAAAAAGTTGTTACGGGCGGTAATCCAACAAAAACGCTCCGATCTATATGACATCAATAAATCCATAGACACATCATCCAGTGAATTAAAGAAAGTTTTAACGACGTTTGATTATAATTTTTGCATGGAAACATTAAATAAACGCGAAATTAGTAAATATAACGAATGCAAAAACAAACATATAGAAAAATATAAAAAATTAACGGCCAAATCAAATGTCAAACATCCGAATCAATGCCAGAACCAAAAGCAACCATTGACAAACACAGATCATAGATTAATCGCGTTCTATAATCTGTCAAAACAAACACTGGATGATGCAACAATAAAGGTTTTATCCAAAGGACTAAATTACGCTATAACTCCACGCAGATTACCGTACGAAGAAATTATCTGTAGTGTCGAGGACTGTTTATTTAAAAACAATATGCGGAAAGAAGATTTGGAGGCGATACGTCAAGACATTTCGTCTATGTTACGTCGATGTCCAGTGCCTAAACCGAATCTTCCCAGAGACGAATTTATAGCGTTAAAGAACCTACGCAATAAACCAGAACTTACGATTCTCCGCGCAGATAAGGGAAACGCCACGGTAGTCATGGATACGTCAGATTATAATTCTAAAATACAAGAACTTTTGTCGGATGTAAGTACTTATAAAAAGGTTAAAAACGACCCAACAAATAGCACACTAAAAACAACTAGTGACCTCATAAAGAAACACTCCGAAAAATTAAATCTGGACGTAAAATGGATAATACCTACGTGCGCCAAATCACCAAAGTTGTATGGGTTACCAAAAATACACAAGCCCAATGCTCCATTACGCCCCATAGTGAGCCAAATCGATTCACCAACTTACAGATTGGCTCAACACTTAGCGAAAATACTCTCACCGCTCAGGGGACATACAAGAGCACACATAAAGGATTCCTACCATTTTGTCAGCGAGATTAAAGACCTACGTCTGGCAGACAATGAAACTATGGTCAGTTTTGATGTGCAGTCATTGTTTACATGCTTACCTGTTGAAGACTGCATCTCAATTGTAACTAGAAGGCTGGAAGAAAACAACATGCCCGTAGAATATGCAGTATTACTCAGACACTGCCTTACATCTGGCTACCTATTGTGGAAGGAGGAGTTCTACAAGCAAGTAGATGGTGTGGCGATGGGCTCACCTATATCTCCCATTGTCGCCGACATATTCATGGAAGACTTTGAGGAGAAAGCCCTGCTTACTTCTCCCATAAATCCAAGTTTCTACAAGCGGTACGTAGACGACACTTTCACAATTCTACCTTTAGATAAAGTAACTGCATTTTTAGACCATCTTAACTCTATAAATTCTAAAATTCAGTTCACAATGGAGTTAGAGGCAAACAATTCCTTAGCTTTTCTAGATGTGTTAGTAATTCGGAATCCTGATAACACCTTGAGCCATACTATGTATAAAAAAAAGACCCATACAGATAGATATTTAAACGGTGATTCTCACCACCATCCTTCACAGTTAGCTACCGTGGGTAAATCTTTGTTTCAGAGAGCACGAGGGATCTGTGACAGTAAACACCTGGCTGCCGAGCTCCAACATGTCAAGCAAGTTTTGCATGACAACAAGCTTCGGGTCCCGCGCCTACGTCACAGAGAACGAGTGAAGCCGGCCACAGTCGAGCGTGTACCTGCTGTACTGCCATATGTTAGAGGAGTCACTGACAAGATTGGCTACATCTTGAAGCGCGCTTCCATCAAAACATACTTCAAGCCGCCGAAGAAGATTGGTCAGTTTTTACCATCGGTCAAGTGTAACGTCCCTCTGCAAGATGCAGGAGTGTACAAGCTTGATTGTGAATGTGGTCTCTCCTACATAGGACAAACTAAAAGATCCATTAAAACCCGCATCAAAGAACATATAGCTGATGTGAAGAATCGACGCTCCGGGAAGTCTGCAGTCTGTGAACATGTACAGGATCGCCCCCGTCACTACATCAGATTTGATAGACCACAAATCCTCGCTAAAGAACACCGATTCCTTCCAAGGATGATTCGCGAGGCTATTGAAATCAAAAAACATCCTAATTTCAATAGAGAAGATGGCTGGGTGCTACCATCTGCTTGGGATCCTATAATAAATAAAATTAAATCCCAACCCAAGCATACAACTGCAAGACTCCATGATACCATAAGTTCATACTGTGTAGATCGGAACAAAAGTTAAATTTTAATCTATGGTAACCGCGGTTAACTATGACAGCTGGACGTTGAACATCTCAGTCCTTCCCGTGACCATGGGTGCTGTAAAGCTCTCGAAACATCGGGTAATTATCAAGTTAAATATACGCGATAAATTCCGTAAAAACTAGTATTATTTCAAAGTTTTACGTTTTAACTATAGCGGATGGATACGTTTTAAATATTATAATGTATAGCGGAGCAGAAAATATTGAAGCCAATGAAAGGAGCACTGACAAACTGGTACTGCGTTTAATGCGCCCATATCTTTTAAAAGGGCATAACTTATTTATGGACAATTACTACAATTCAGTGACCCTTTCTGAAAAATTACTTGATTTGAAAACACACACCAACGGCACGCTGCGTAAGACAAGAAAAGACAATCCTAAAGAAATTGTACAAAAGAAACTCCAAAAAGGCCAGCATGTGTGGGATAGGAAAGGAAAAGTCTATGTAAGTGCCTGAAAAGATAAAAGAGACGTCTATATGGTTACCACCATGGATCATCCAGCGCTCATTGAAGTCACAAACCGATTTGGAAAAAAGAAAACTAAACCCATAGAAGTGAACAGATATAACAAATCCATGTCGGTGTTGATCGCTTGGATCAGATGATAAGTTATTATTCATCACCAAGAAAAACTATAAGGTGGTATAAAAAGGTCCTATTTCATATTATGGACACCACAGTTTGGAATTCCCTTTACATTTATAAAAATTTTGTGAAAAAAAGATAAGAAGTATGAGTATGTGACATACAGAGAAGAGTTAATCAGGAAATTGATCGGCCTGAAAGAAGAAAAAAGGAAAAGATTTAATTCGAAATTCCAACAAGAATGACAGCAGGCGGTATGTGCTTCAAACTGAATCACAGCTTCATGAAAATATTGAACGCAGTAAGGTAGAAACGCAGGACAACTTTTCTCAGCCAAATTCAGGAAACCATGGACATTGGCCAACTCGCATGATGCCATCTGCAAATTCTAAGAAGTACGCATTTTTGACATGAAAGCAATGTTCGAAACAAAAGGTACGACGTGACACAAGTTACTTCTGTAAAGGTTTCAATAATTCTCCAGCACTTTGTCCTTCATGTTTTGAAGATTGGCATAAAGATTTGTAAACTGTCAAGTGTAATTTTATAAATACATAGATTATCATAATATCAAGGATGACATTTTAAATATTCCTTATTTAAAATGTCAGCCTTGATATTATGATAATCTAGATTTTATAAAATATTGTGATACTACATTAAAAAAAGACTGTTTGTTATGCTTAAGTTAGTTAGCTTTTTAGCTTATTAAAAAAAGGAGACCTAGAAAAATAATAATTATATGTTAATCGAGAGAAAAGACGTATCTGATAATTATTTTGTTTTGTTAATTATTATCCAAGTTTAAGTTAAGAAAATATTTTTGTTTAAATATAAGACTGTTATTTTGTTTGTTTTTTAAGTTTGGTATAAAAATATGATTTTCCATAGTTCTGATATATTCAACAAAACATTTTTTTTGTTTCGCAAAATTTTGATTATTATCATCATGATTCCTATGGTAGGGACGTAAACTGACGTACTGTCATACTACACTTATTTGTACACATAATCTTGATAGCAACATGGCAGTACGCCTATTCGCGATGCGTACAGAGACTTACTGTCATATGCACACGATGATATCAATCACGATGCGACAACACGACTATTTCGTGGCACGTACCGAAGCGTACTGTCATATGAATGCCATAATTTTAATTACGATGTGACAGCACGACTATTTCGTGCCACGTAAATAAGAATACTGTCATTAGAAGACTATAACTTTGACTACGATACGACAGCACGATTATTTCGGGCCACGTACAGAAGCGTACTGTCCCACCACAATTGTACAAATATATTGCTATGTGTCAGGAAGTATATAGGCGTGGTAGTAATTTGTATGGAATTTTTTAGTGTCATATTTCAAACTTGGTGCAGTGTCCAGTGTCCGTGAAAGTGTTAAAGAACAAGACCACCGCGCTTCTGCTCCACGCCTCCGGAGTAGTGGCACCGTGGAGGACGGAATTAAAGAGCTTCTCAAGGACTTCAAGTACCGGTGTTCCACCCGCTTTCAGAAGCTCCAATGTAATTCCATCCACGCCTGGGGCCTTACCGTTTTTAAGGTGGTGGAGAGCCATTCTAATCTCGCTCAGACTGACGTCCGGGATATCATCGGAATAGTGTCAGATAAGACTTGCTCTTCGATCGTTACTCACACTTGCGTGTGGCTTCAAAGATAATGTGTACAGCTGCCCATAGAACCTCTCAATCTCACTCAGAATCTCAGGTGTCCCGGAAACGATGTTGCCACACTCAATCTTCAGCTTTGACAGTTGACTCTTTCTGGCAGACAGATCTCTGGCAAAGACTTTGGAGCCCTGGTTCCGCTCGATCGCTTCTTTAATACGAGCAGTTTTAAAGTTGCGTAAGTCTCGCCGCATGCATTTGGAGATTTCTCTGTTCAGTTGCCTGTATGCTGTCAAATCTGTTTACGATTGCAGCCTCATCTAACAGCCATGAGATTAAGAGTGTAATCGGAGAGTTTTTGTGCTTTGCTGCGGCGGGTCTTGTAGAACTTAGCTCCAACCGCATGGACAGTTTCCACCAGCTTGTCATTCATATTGTCCTCTGCATTGCAATATTCTAGGCACTGAAAGCGGTTACGTAACTCGAGCTGAAAGGTTTCAGGATTCGGGATTAGAGTGAGCACGAGAGGGACGGAGCGTTGACTTCATTAGACAAGACCTTTCCAACTTAACGTTTAGGTTCAGTGAGCCTCTAACCATTCGGTGATCCCTGCCAGTTTTCACCCTTGCGATCACTGAGACATCACTGAACAGTTGGCGTCTGGTCTTCATAATGAAGTCAATCTCTTTTTTTGTCGAACCGTCGGGGCTCGAGCAGGTCCACTTCCTGTGGGGCCGCTTCTGGAAGAAGGAGTTCATCATAAAGAGTCCCTCTTTCTCCATAAAGTCGGCCAGCTGCTGGCCCCTTCAGTTCCGTTGCCCTACTCCAAATTTCCCTACCTTCAGCTCACCGCTTTCTCTTGTGCCTAGTTTTGCGTTGAAGTCTCCCATCAACACATCATCGGGATGTGCCGAGGTTGGTGCGTAAACCTATGCGTATGACCTTTAGCGAATACCGTTTGGTGACTCTGAGTATCAGGTACGCGACCCTCGTCGATACACTCTCAATCTTAACAACGTTGTTGACGAGAGACTTGTGGACGATAAATCCGACACCTCCTTGTGAAAGATGGTCGCCCTCCCGGTGATAGAACAAGTTGCCAGAGTCGAGGATTGACGTATCCTCCCCCTCTCTTCGGACCTCAAATAATCCAATAATATGCCAGCGCAACTTATCTACCTCTTCTTCCAGCTCCAGTATCTTCTCGTCAGTCCTCAGGGTGCGTACGTTATATGTTGCCAGGTCCAGTCGTCGTAGGTGGCGACCGAACCTCCACCGGAGATTCTTAGCACCCCCTGCCCCGCCGTTTACTTGGTCGCCACCGTAGCCAGGAATAGCGGGGCCACCGGGGACTGGGGGCCATTTGTTTGCGTCGTTATTCATGGGGGATATTTGACATAGTTGCCACGCTTGGCGAGTGGATTGGCAACCGCAGTTTTTTATTATATCATATTTGTTATCAGGAAGATGCTGCTGCCCATCTCTCGCCTGTCTCCCTCTCTCGCCTCTTACGACACCCACGGGAAGATATGAACGAAGATAATAACGAATGAAGTAAAGACAACACTATTCAAGGCTTACTGTCAGACATTCTACGCCTTCAGCCTGTGGACGAAGTGTACTCGTACTTGAATTCTCAATGCGCTACGTGTTCAGTACAACATTGGATTCAGGATGTTTTTGGGCCTGCCACGCTTTTGCAGCGCATCGCGTATGTTTGCTGAGGCACGCGTGGATAGAAGGCAAGATTTCCCTGTAATGAGGTACTAGAACACAGTGTATATGGGTTCCAGACCCAATATGTTTATTAATAAATAATAATTTTTGTGTAGTATAATAATTTATGTATTCTGTGAATTTACTAACACCTCATTTTCAAGTTCTTAAATTTTACGTGAACTAACAAAATGGGTGTATTTACTTGAATAATGAAAAAATATTAAAAAAATTATTGACGATTTTTGTCCAAAAACGGAATTTTTTAAAACGTTCTTGTGTAAAGTTGCCAACATGTCGCTTGGTAATTATTGCCTTTCAAGCATCGATGTATGTATGTTCTTTGTCTTTTATATATCTATTTCTATTTGGTGTAATGGTTGGCTGAAAAAGAATTCACTATGTCATTAAGTCTGTTACATATACTCCTTTATACATTGAAGTATAAAAAATATATAAAAATAAATATAGATATTATAACATAATATAGATATATGTAACATATCACATTTTAGCACTCAAGAGTAAAAATGCATCTACGTTTTGAATGTTAGTCAAGTATAGATGTAGGTGTTTACGGGTCACAACTTCTGCTTACACAAAGATGGACATGGATAGAGAAATGTAATTTTACTTTTATAAAAAAAATATAATCGCTCGCTCTTTGGCCCCATTAGAGCTACACACAATGGTTTGCATCAACGCTTTGTGTGTTAAACTCGCACCTCGAGCAATCCGATGAGCTTTTGTTGGGAATCACGTATATCGATAGCAACTACAATTGTTCCGTATTATGTTTCAGATATATATGTATAGCAAGAGAGAATTTATCAACTTTTCTTTGATTGAATGGAACAGAAACAGAAACAGAAACTTATTTATTCAATGTAGATTATAAACAATACTTATTGAAAGTCAATTTTTTCATTTACCACTGGTTCGCAAAACAAAACCTCTGTCCTGGGAAGAACCAGCAAGAAACCCAGCGGGACCATTTTTTTAATAATAGCTTACAATCATGTTTACAATTAACAACACAAGACAAGACAAGAAATCTTGGTACGATCATCCATAAAGTTTCTCAGGGGTTATTATCATCCATAAATTCCTTAATATTATAATAACCCTTTTTATACAAACTTAGTTTAATAAAATTTTTGAACTTTGCGTATGACAAATTTTGTTATATTTTCTGGGGTTTTGGTGATATTTTGTTGATTGGATTTGAAGTTTGACGTTTAGATTTAAGCGTGCATACTTCCGTCACATATTGATCTGTAATTTCTTTTTTATTGGACACATAAACAAGCTAACCAAGCCCGATGACACGACATAAATTTTCTTCGATTAGCAGCATTTTGAAATAGTGGGGGACTAAAATTACATTTGACGAACCTAATTTCAATTTTAAACATCTATACATATGAATAGAATTGATTTGTTTGTCTTTAGTACTTAATTGATTACTGGCTCCTACTCAGCTCAGGGGATTATCTGCATGTTATAAATATATACATTA